TAAGTTGCACCTCTAAACTTTGCCAAAAGGTGTAGTTCAGGTTTTGGACTATACAATGACTTGAAAATCCATGTTCAACCTTAATTATGAAATTTTTAATTTTAAAAGATAGTGCAAATCTATAAACACCTGACAATCTTAAAAATAGATAGTTTAATTTGGATAACTTGTTACAAGATGCACTATTTTAAAAAATTGAAAATATTTTTTCTTTGTATCAATATATCTCAAGGTTAAGATGATCAATTTGAAGATTACCCAACTTCAATACACTCATTTCTAATGGATTTTTAAGGTATACATTACTTATACAGTATAAGGTGGCAACCTGCAATCAAACAACACCTAAATTTTTGTACATGAATGTACATTAAGAGGCCATTTAAATACCTAGAAATATATTGTCTGTGAAATACATTACAGGCGTAATACATTATTACGTAATACATTACCTGCAAATGGATTTTCACTGTTTGGGTAGTATTTAGATGCAACTTGGGAAATACATTGTTTACTGTTTGGCTATGTCTGGAAGAAATATGAGAAATACATTATCATTCAAATATGAAAAATATAGCTATGTTTGGCTAACATGATTAGACTTTGGTTTCAACATGATAAGTCATTGGACTAATATGATTGGAATAACATGATATTATTGTGATAAGGCTTATTTTTATTTATTTATTATAAAAATCTTTCAAATGTCTCTTTATATATATTTTAAAATAAGCAATAAATTTATGATACCAAAATCAAAATCTTTATGGTACATGTTAAAAAATGGGGAGAAGTTTGATTAGTAAACTAGAAGGTTTGGTAATTGCAGTAGAAAATTTTCAAGTATTGGAAGAGACTAAAAAGGTATCTTATTTTAATTGACCTTTTATTAATTTTTTATGAGGATTATGACTAAAGAGGTATCTTATTTCAATTGACCTTTCACTAATCTCTTAGGATTATGTTGTATGAAATCTTTTAGGATTACGTTGTGTGAAAAAAAATTTTAGAAAAAATTACATATATATCCGTTATAGTTTACTTTATTATAAAACTACCAAATAGTTTCTATTATTATCTATCTGTCCGTTTTTTTCATGTCATAACGAAAATTTAAAAAAAAAACAATTTTACTCTTTTTTCGAATGTTGAACAACCGAATTTAATGGATTTTCTTCTTCAACAATCGAAATCAAGCCAGTTTTTAAAAACCGAAAATTAAAACTTTTCGATTGTTGAAGAACCGAAAATTTTAAATTTTCAGTTCTCCAAAAAAAAATTTCTCCATCTTTTCCTTTAAACTCTTCCCTACGTCTCTCTATACCTTACATTTGGGTGGGTTTAAACTCTTCCCTATGAACCCTTCCCTATGTTTACCATTCTCTCTCTTCAATGACTAATCTACCGTAACTATCTTTCAATTGATTTGTAAGTGGAACAAGAATGGATAAACATAGAGAATAGTTTATAACTCAGAGAGAATGGATAAACATAGAGAAGATACATGGTTTAAACTCTTCTTATATTTATCTATTCTCTCTACCATGACTAATCTACCATATGTTTATCCATTCTCTCTCTACAAATGACTAATCTATCGCGACCATCTTTCAATTTGTAACTGGAACAGAGAGAATTGATCAACATTAGGACTTTAATGTTAATGTATAGATATAATGGATAAAAATAGGGAAGAGTTTAAACCCACGTAAATGTGGATAGAGAGAGAATGGATAAATATAGGGAAAAAGTTATAGAGAGATAATTTGGTTCTTCAACAATTGAATTTTAAAAAAAATTGATTAGTGGATAGAGAGAGAATAGGCAGAGGACGTTATTCAAAAATCGAATTTAAAAAAAAATTGATTAGTTGATAGAGAGAGAATACGCAAAGGACCTATGAAAGAGAAAAAAAATTTTTAAAATTTTCGCTTCTTCAACAATCGAAAATTTTGAATTTTCGATTTTTCAAAAACCGAAATGGTTCTGATTTCCAGTTGTTCAACAACTGGAAAAGAGTAAAATTGTCTCTTTTTTTAAAATTTCGTTATGACATGAAAAAAAATGGACACATAGATAATAACGGAAACTATTCGCTAGTTTTGTAATAACACAGACTACAACGGATATGCATGTAGTTTTTCCAATTTGTGTAATTTCTCAAGGATTATCCGTTATTATTTTTATTATTTCTGGTTTTATACTAGAACGGATGGCGGACTACAACCTAAATTGCGGATAGAGGGATGTAGAAACCCAAATTGGCGATAGAGAGATGTAAAAATTTATTTATTAAGATTGCAGTAGACAATTCTCCCTCATCAAGTTCTACAACTGTTCAAATCGATTTAGATTTACCCTTAGACTTGGCAATTATTAAAAAAATTTGTTTTTATATGAGAGTTTGATGATGGCTACAACCCAAATTGGTCAATTTAGATTTTCCCTTAGACTTGGCAATTATTAAAAAAAATTGTTTTTATATGAGAGTTTGATGATCGCTACAACCTAAATTGGGGATAGAAGGATGTAGAAATTTTTTATTATGATTACAGTAGAAGATTTTCCTCGTACATCTGTTGAAATCAATTTAGATTCCCCTCTACATATCCCCTACCTCTACTTTCTACTTACCTTAATAATTATACAATACAACGTATACGTGAGAGAGGGAAATGTTTTTTTAAGAGGGGATAGGGCAAAGACCATGACAAACATTTCCAAAGATTATCCGTCAAACTCATAATAGATTTTTCACCCCCACGTGTAATGGATTTCGTGATTTTCTCTCCATTTCCTTACTATTAAAATGCACTCAGGGTCGTTTGAATACGTGGAAATATATTGTTTGTGAAATATATTACTGACGTAATATATTACTACGTAATACATTACCTATAAATGGATTGTTACTGTTTGGGTGGTATTTAGATGCAACGTGGGAATTACATTGTTATTGTTTGGCTATCTCTGAAAGGAATATAGGAAATGCATTACCAAACTTTTACCAGCACCGGCCTATAAACTATTATTTCTTTCTTTTTTATCACAAAATGCCACTAAAATGCAGAATTATCATTTTCTTCTTTTTTTGTCACAAAATTCTACTAAAATACTAAATTAAAATCATCATCGCACTATTCCAAAAAGATTTCTAATAATAACATTATCACCATTCCAAAAAAATTTCTAATAAGACCAAATAATCCCTAAAAGTTTTAGGGATATCCTGATCATTTTTTTTATTGAAAATATTTTTTTTATATTGTTTTATGTGCATCCCATTGAGACGATGGCACATACCAAATTTTATATTCATATAATTTATAAAATAAAACTAAAAATAAAATACTCTAAGGCATCGGATCTAGATCAAATAGTCAATGACTTATTTGATCTAAATTGGACAGCTAGAGGGGGGAGAAAAATATAGTACTTCTATACAGTAGGGGAGGTATAAAAACCTTTCCTATATATAAAACCTAGCTTGGCCACTCGTTTATTTAGAATCACACAAGATATAAGTAGAAAAAAACATTCTCTAATATTGCCACCTATATTTTTTTTCCCTAGTGACATATTAAAAAACTTCGGTTGGGCCGACCACTTGGCCCTAAAAAGTAGCACCGGCTCTAGGCCCGACTTTTTTTTTTTTTCTTATCTTTTCTTTTATTTCCGATATTTGTTTTGCCCCTACCTGACCCTAATAGGGCCAAGACCGGGCCTCGGCGAAACCTATGGGGGAACAAGAGCTGGGCCAAGGGCAAAGGCTGGTCCGGCCCGTTGCCACCCTTAGGTTGATTCTATTGGAATGAAATTCTCACCCATGGCCATGGCAATGATGAGGAGGATTACGATGGATGATGCTCTAGGAATATGCTCTACTCCATCCGATTTGGAAGCCTAGCCAACGGTGATGGTGCTGTGGGCCCCTCCACTCATCTCCTTCAATTGGTTGGGTATGGTTTCATCAAAGAGCTTGTTGTCTGGCTTCTCAGCGTAACACACGTAGTAAGTGTTTACACACGCGTGAGGCAACACCATGCTGATTCGAGTCTGATGTCAACAATTGCAATACATTAACTCCATTTGCCATACAAACTAGAGTAAAATAATTTTTTGCTCATATGGGAGCATACTATCCATTTACTTCCTTAGGTAAAATGCAAATTTAGGAGTACTTTTAGAACCTCATGTTTTGGGGTGTATCCTCTTACCAACTTCAAAAAAAACTAAATAAAAAAATTATAGCATTCTTTGTGGGCCTGAAAAAATAATGTTTTAAAATTGAATATAGACCATCCAAAATGTGATAGCAAGAACTAAGTGATAAAATACACAAAATCTAATTTTGTTTTTTAAACAAAATCAGTATGTAATTATTAAGTGGATCCCAAAATTTTATATATATATATAAAAAACAAAAAACCCTCTTAAGATGCTTTTTCACTAAAGGTAGTAAGTGGATATTATGGTCTTTGCGGGAGCATTGTGTACACCCGACCAAACTAAATGTTTTGTTCATGGCTTGTTTTATACAAATACTTTCATCTTTGGGGACGGTTGTTTCTTGTGAAAATGCTTACTGGGCCATGTGAAAGTTTGTTCACTGCTTTCTCACCGACACAAGCAAATTACTTAAAAAGTCAAGCGACATCATATCTCGGGAGAGCAGGCAACCTGCCGGGCCTGGGCTGGGTCAGCATTGCCCCTAGCCCATCCATAGTCACCATAGGAGCCGGTCCAGCCTGTCCTAGCCCTAGCCCTATCAAGGCCGGCCAGGCTAGATAAAAAGAAAATAAATCAAGAAAATATAACGAAAAAAAAAAGAGGGTAGGGTCGAGGCAAAACTGGGCCGGCCCTTGTGTAGCCCGGAATTGGCTTGGTTTGAGCCACATTTTGTGACCCAGTCCCATGTTTTTAGGGGTAATCGCCAGGGCAGGCAACCTGACTCATGGCCACCACAACATCTTGGTGCTTCTTTCTCACACTGTCAATAATCTCTCACATTTTAGACTTAAAAGCTGAAAAAAGGTTGGGAAAATGCTTTCTCAGCTGCTAAGATAACTACACTTTGGAAGATGAGAAAGCCATAGCGAGTGTTTTCTTATCAGAAAATTCTTTGTTTAGGAGCCCCTAGTGTCTGAAACGTACTCTGTGGTGAAGGACCACGCACTTTTCGTAATTCATAACAGCTAAAATAAGGGTGCCCCCAGTATAGAGCCAAAGCTCTAAACAATCGAAGTAAAGCACACATTCGAATAGTATCGAGAAATGTGGTTTTAATACTGAAAATCATTGTGATATCCTTAAAATATATTTTTATCTTTAATTATAAAATTTAAAGTTTTAAAAATAGTGTAGATCAAGTAGAGCTATGAAAACTTGAAAATATTGAAAATTGACAGTCCAAAAATAAGTTATAAAATACACTATTTTCAAAACTCGAAATCAATTTTTTTTCTCATGTCTATAAATCTTGATGTTGAGATGATCAATTTGAGGGTATTTGCGTATCAAAACAACCTATTCTAGTAAAAAATTTGAGGTGGACTCTAATTTGATTGCTTAGAAACAAAATTTCCTTCTCATTTTTTAAAATCAGATAAAGGTAAGACCAGACAGCAATGGCTTCAAGAGAGTGCCTACCATGAGATAACCAATGAAGAACGACGCTAATGTAACAGTGGCCGTGAACTCCATGTGATAGGCCTTCGCGAAGGACCCCGCGATGATGGCGCAGATCGCCCCGCTCAAAATCCCACTGAGAAAGCACACAGAGCTCGTAATGTCGGAGTCCATTAGAGATTCCATCTTACGCCGCCGGATAACGTCCAATGTACTCCTTGATGCGCTGACAAACCCCTTCCCATACACCGCCACCATCACAAAACCCCAGCCATTGGCACAGTGGAAGGCATCCTCCATGACCCTAAAGCAGCAATGTGCACAAGAAAACAGGAACTCATCCTCCCCCTCGACAAGGTTAAGAGTTCGGGCCAATATGCGCAACGCCTCGACCATAGGCACCAGAGCAGATCCAAGGCATGCACTTCCCAATGTGTTCGTGAGGGCTCGCTCGAAGCAGAAGCGTGGGATCGACTGGATGCCTCGCGTATAGTAAAGCCCCATCACTCTGCAGACAGTCAAGTTCCCTATGTTGCGCAGTACCTCGAGTGTCCATGCCATGCTTAGCACTAGCATGAATACTAGCAATGCAGGGACAGGTAGGCCTTCCATGGAGGAAGCACCAGAGAGAGCGAGGCTCCAAGCCGAGGTCCATACAGCTGCCACCCCTACCAGCCAATACAGGGGCTCAGCCAGGTCCGGAAACTTTGCAGTTGGCTCAAGAGCTTTCGATAGCACCCGGACAGCGTAATCAAGACGACGGGTTACCCAGCAGCAATAGAGTCCATCACAGATCGAAAAAATAAGGAGAGGAGTTCCAATTCCCACTGTGGAGGGCGTCGAGAAGCTTAGCATCACTATCGATGCTGCCATGGTCATGGTGAAGCTGCCCCAGAGAGCTGTGTGAATTGCCTGCTTAGGCCACCACCTAGTGGCCTTCGCAGAGGCCACGGCCATGAATGCACCCACCAGTATGGCTACCTCTACAGGAGGAACCCAGAATTCCACCACTCTCTTTTGCTTTCCACCCCCTCTTATGGCTCCCCATATTGCCTTGAACCCTAGGAAGCCCAACGCCGCCAGTGCGCCGAGAATGTGGACCACAAATACCAGAAGGGTGAGCCGGTCTCTGCAACCTCCGGAGTTCGTGATTATGCTCCCCGCCCCTCCCTGTGTCATGCTCCCAAATTTCACTGCTTGGAATTTCTCTGGAACCTTTGTTTCAAAGAGAGCCCTTTCCCAAGCCCATGGGGAAGCTTGGAATTTCTCTGGAACCTTTGTTTCAAAGAAAGTCCTTTTCCAAGCCCATGGGAAATTTGCCAAACGAAAGTACTTTCCCATCATCATGGGAAAATACTTTCACATGAACAGGTGACAAAATGTGTAGAACGTTAAGGTACCACGGGGACTCATGTTCTACTAGAAAACCAACAGGGAAAAGCAATAGTGTAATCAAAATGTCTTTCACGCGGAGCACCTAAACAAAAGTAACCTTGGTGAATTCAAACTTCTGAATACTTTAGAGATATTATATAAAGGAAAACGTTTATAAAAGGATGCTACCTTATAATACCGTATAATGTAGAACTACGGATGCCCCTCAAAAATCCATTGGAAAAAGTAGTTTTAATGTTAAAAAATAGTACATTTTACAACATATTATCTACACCGTTCATTTTCAAGATTTTCATATGTTTATGGATCTACTTGATTTTAACCATTTTTTAAATTTAAAATTTTATAATTAAATATAAAAATAGATTTTGAGATAATCTTAAGAATATTTTATATCAAAATTATATACCATAAAAATGTGAAGATACACCTTACCTCTACACATTCAAATGCATCCGTACGCCACTGCCCCTTATATAAAAACAGAGGAACACATTCATTGTGTACGATTTAAGCATATTTGCAAATACTATTGAATACTAACGATCCAGATAATGTATTACAAGATGCACTATTTATAAGACTTGAAATAGCTTATCTTTCTATAGTAATATATTTCAATATCATGACAATTGCTTGAAATTTTTTTTTCAGTTTCGGATGGATTTTTGTGGTAATTGCAGCTTACCACTAGTCAATTGAAGTAGGTGAGGAAGAGTGGATCCACCAAATAGGCTTAAAGCTTACGTGGTTACGGCGGCGGCTACGAAAACATAACAATTTGAGTTCTATTTCTACCGTTAGGGCATCCTTTTTCCCCACTAAATTAAAAAAATAAAACCGCGGGGCCACCAAATAGAACAAGACTTGCTTTGCTCTGTCTCCATTCGTCCATCCTTTTCACTAGATAAGGAGCACTCTAGGGACTACGGCTTCAATACTTATTGCAGTGCAATAAATTTCCACCAAAAAAGGGTCTTGGTTTCTATGTGGCCAAGCCCGCATATGTTGAAATGCAGGCATCCTAATAAAACTATTTTTTAGATGGATTTAAAGGCTTAATATTTAAAGTCATGTAATATCTAACATGAAAATCATGAATACGAAGAAAAAAAATAAAATTAAAAATTAAAAATAATAATTCTAATAAGAAAACATTTGAATATTTAGTTTCCATTGTTTTCAGATAGAACACCTGCTTTACATCTATTTTTAAGATGTATGCTTTACACTTTCTGGACCTCATATGTAGAAATGCGCACATGAAATAATTTTCCCCAATAAAAAGTCCTAAAACCATGAAAATGATATAAAAGAACAAGGGGAACAAAAAAAAAACAAAAAAAAAGTTGGAAGCAAACCACACAACATTCAAGAGCACCATGAAAATTCAATGTAAGAAAATAAAATTTTGTGTAAACCAGGTGTGATTCCGACAATATCCCTCTGCGAGTGAGTATCACAGCAACAACTAATGTATAAAACTTGTAAATAAGAGAAGTTCCTCTGAGAGTGAGTGAGTGAAAAACCAGAGAGGAAAGGTGAATTGAGGTTGTACTCGTTTACTCAGGTTCAAAACCCATCTAATGCATATAAATTTCCTCACTCAAAGAGAGAGAGACTAACCCGTGAGGTGGTGCTGATGCCTCGAGTATTCGAGAAGCTCGAAGAAGTTTCGGCCGCGGGGGGCGGCTCACCTGCAGCAACCTGCTGCTGCCCCTCCTCTCCTCTCTCCATGTCTCTATTTCCTTCATGCTCATCTCCCCTTCTCTCTCCTTCTTCATTATCCCTCTCTCTCTCTTCATTTCCTCTCCCTCCTTGCTCCTCCCCTATCTCAGCAACCTGCAAAACAGAGTTGTACCAGTCAACTGAATATCCTCTCTGGTTTAGAGAGAGAAAGGGAACATTTCTCTTTTGAGAGTGTGGGATCAGTTGTGGTTTATAGAAAGAGGGAAGGTAGAGAAAGAGAGAGCCAATACAGAGGAATCCATTGCGCCCATCTTTCTTGCTTATCTTCTTCTGAAAAGTTTTTTACGTTTCTCTCTCTCCATGTAGAGAGAGAGAGTGGGGGTAAAGAGGGGTCTAGTGGCCTTGTACTGACTTCTGTCCGGGCCTTGATGATGATGTCGGCTAGACTAATGGTGTACATTGCCATGTGAAAGACTTGCTTTGGTGCGATGAGAGAGAAAGGTGGGGACTGGAGCACAGTAGGGAGAGTAGAGAGAGAGGACAAACCGGGACGGTACAATGAGAGAGAAAGGTGGGGACTGGAGCACAGTAGAGAGAGAGAGCAGAGAGAGGAGAAGAGTGGACAAACCGGGAAGGTACAGTGAAGGTTGGGAGGAGAGAGAGAGAGAGAGTGATGGATCAGAGTTATGGTGCATGGATATACTCCCACGGGATCATACTATTTGTATTCGCCCTTTCGCAAAACACTTGTTTAGAAAGATTATTTTATTCGGCCCAAAATCTTGAAACGGCTAAATGATTATTTTTAACACCAATAAAATTTTGAATTTTTAGTTTTCTTACATTTAAAATTACGCATACGAATAAGTGTAGCACAGATGATGATATTGAGATGAATGAGTGGCAAGACAAGAAAAGATAAAATTCAAAATGAATATATTTGAGAGAATTTAGGCGTGACATAAGTAGGTGATAAAATGAGAGAGACTAAACTTAGGTGATCTGGCCATGTGTGCTACCGATCAAATACAACACCTATTAAGTGGTGCGAGTTAGTTCAGTGACATGATTGAAAATGATAAGGGATAGGCCTAAAAGGATGTGGTTGAAGTTAGTCCAAAAAAATATAGAGACTTATGGCTTCATTGAAGATATAGCATTTAATAAAGTAGAATGGGGAATCAAAATTCATATAGCTAGCCACGATTAATTAAAAAAAAGCTAAAATGACAATAATTGATGAAATTTTCTTGCACTCTAAAAAATTGGACTCTCTATTGAATGTTGAGGAATTATTTTATTTCTAATACATATAGAGTTTACTTCAAAAGCTTTTATGTCTCTATTGAATGTTGAGGAATTATTTTATTTCTAATACATAGAGAGTTTACTTCAAAAGCTTTTATTTATTGAGATTAGTTTATAGGTTGTAGGTACTGCATCCCCAACATTTGACATATAAAAATTATTCCCAGCATGTATTAGGAGTAAATAGATGGTATACTCCCGCAGGCGTAGGAAATGTTTTGGCTAGAGAGGGGGTCGGTCTTGGAACTTCCTATCCACCCATTTGAGGTATGGAGGCCCAATAACCATTCTATTTGCCACGTCGACAGTGACGCACTGTCCACTATGAAGGACCCCACTTTGAATGTGGTCATTCAAATCAAACCTTATCATTATGTCATTTTCGCATGTAGAAAGGTTATCAAATCAAACTATAGCGCAATGTTTAAGCCCCTGTTTACTTATAAACTTTATTTTCTTGGCTCTTCTACCTGTGGATGTAAAATGGTTGCTTTTATTTTATGGATCAAACTCATATTTTTTTAAAATAATTTTTTTAAACTTTGTGACATACTCAAATTATTAGATTTCACATCGAATGGTTGTCAGTAATTTAGTCCCATTGTATACAATCTCTTCTATAAGAGCATCTTCTTGGAGAAACCATTTAAAAAAGAAAAATACAACCCTATCAAAATAAGGCAATCACCTCATAAATCATTAAAAATTTCAATTCAAGTGTTGAAAAACATTTAAATCGACCATCTCATCTTGAACATTATGGTTGTGAAAAAAAATTAGGATTTCAAATTTTGAAAATAGTGTATGTTGCAACAAATCATCTAGACCAGTCATTTCGCCCTAACAATTACATATTCACAAGATCTGTATCATTTTTTTAATGTCAAATTTTATTATCGGTATTGAAAAGTAATTTTCAAGCCATCATTAAGATTTTCAATGATGAAAGTACTTTTCGGATGAGGATTTGAGGTGAGGCTTTATTGTGTTTTCATAAAGCCTAGGCCCTATAGAAACCTCATCCTTTCAAAAATCAATATTTAACATTTGATTGAAATACATGCCATTTATTTTAGGGTGCGGTTTGTATAGAACTTAGGCTCTAAACAATCAAATTAGAGCCTACCTTCAAATAGTACCGAGAAATGTGGTTTCAATATTGAAAATGTGATAGCCTTAAAATATATTTTCATATTTATCTATAAAGTTTAAAGCTTCAAAAATAGTGTAGATCGATATATCTATGAAAACTTGAAAATATTGAAAATTGACAGTCGAAAAATACCTCACAAAAGATACTATTTCTAAAAACTTACGATCCATTTTTTTCTCATGTCCATGCACTTTGATGTCGAGATGATCAATTTGAAGATATTTGGGCATCAAAACAACCTCTTCTACTGAAATTTTTCGGATAGATTCAAATTTAATTGTTTAGAGCCACGACTAAATAAATTTTTCCCTTTATTTTATGTTGCTAATGTCAAGATCATGTGAGTATTATTTAATGTTGCTAATTTCAAGATATGTGTATTATTTAGATCATGCGAATAGTCTTTTATGTTGCAATGTTACTATCATGTCAATATTATTTTATGTTGCTAATGTCAAGATCATGTGAATGATTTAATGCGAGCAATATGAGTACCTTGTTCCAAAGTTTTAAAATTTGGTAATTTGGATTGGAGTCGTTCGATCTGGATCGAGAATTATTTATGACAATATGAATTTTTCAATATATAGTGATCTAGACGACTTTATCTAGAACCAGTCAGACAGGTACTTGTTGGATTGATTCCGACAAATAACTGGTTCACAAATTTTAAAAAAAAATTGCAACTTTTTAAATTAAAATAAAACCCTTTTGCCCATAAAAAAATCTTCTAACAACCTATCTTTCTCTTTCTCCTTGGCATCCATCTCTTTCTCTCTCTACAAATCAATTCCACAAGTATTTGTTCCATATTCCATGTAGCTGCTTTATCTCTCTCTTTGCTAAATTCCACTATTAATACAAAAATATTTGTTATTTGTAGAGAAAGAAATATAAATTCCACTAAATGGAAGCTTCCTTCCATAAATTTGTTCTATATAGTTTCTTTAAAAAATGGAACCCCTAAATTCATTCAAAAAAAAATTGGGTTAGAAAAATTCATTTTATTATCATGAGTCATTTTAAACTGCATTTTTTTACTATAAAATGAATTTAATAGAATAAACACTCAACATAGGACAGGTTTTTAGAATTTATATATTTTTTACATAATAATGGAAAACTATAATGCAATTGCCACTATTTTTTTTAGAAACCTAAAACACTAGATTTTTTAGAAACTATAGTATTTTTTGTTAATTTTTTGAAGCTGAGACCTGTCGATCTAGCTAATTCTTTGATCCAAATCATCGATCCACCGATCTGATGCGTTTTTGGGATAACCGATCCAAGTCACCGATCCATTTTTTTAAACCTTGGTTTGTTTCATACCTTTTCCAGAAGCATTTTGCAACTAACCTTGCTACACTACATTTAAATTTGTCATCGCTTTTCACCAAAAAGTGATGTGAAATTTAGAATATTTTGTATTATATATGGATTTTTGGACTCCAAATTTATCGTAACGTTATAAAATATACAGATTCACAATATACAATCTAAAGGAATAACAAATTTCTATATATTCATAGACTAGGGAGCTTGATTTAGGATTTTTATAATAATACATTTTGTTGAGTGATCCACCTCTAATTGGCACTCCAAAAGATTAGAAAACTGAGGAAAAATAAAGTAGAAAAACACAAAAATGACATGGCTTGTTGAATTACATGATTTTTTGTCTTCTCCCAAATGCTGTAATCTCTTAAAGAGGAGTCTCAATTTTGATTTCAATTTGGTCAAATTTGTTCTCAAGTGCCCTTTAATCTTCTCAGGAATTCCTTCACTTCAGCACGTTCTCTCAAATTCAACCCATTATCTTATAACTTTCATGCCCAAGGATTGAAATTTGATACTATCTCTCTTAATTCAAGTTTTTTTTTCTTCCAGATTGATCTTTTGATTCACTCCCAAATCTTGAGGCAATTGCTTTCAATGATTATATACGTTTGTGGGGGGCAATGAAATAGATTAGGAAAATTGTTTCATGAGTCAATGATTTAGAATGGACTTATTTGAATTGTACTGTCTACAAATAAGATATTAACAATGCTAAAAAATACTAAAAATTTATGTTTTTATTTTTTATTTTTCTTTTTATATTTATGATCATCTGGCCTAGATAATGAATCTACAAAAAAAAAATACAAAAAATCATCTAAAATAAATTTTAGTGGGGGCGGCATATGTACATATGAGTCCGTCCACTCATAAAAAACACCAGATTTCAGCTTAAAATATCCTATGGGTTGGTAGAAAAGATCCTCCCTTGGTAGAGGTATCAGTGGGCTCTACTAGAAACAAGATACCTAGTGTCTTGGGTTATTGTCCTTTCATAAATAGGGTCAAATATTCCTCATATGATATGAACTTTAGAGTAAGAAGTCGTAAATTAAAATTCCACCAAGTTTGAGTTTAAAGTACTTTCAATATGATGGAACACAGTTGGCTGGACTAGTGACATTTGAGTTTAAAGCATTCAAAATTGTGTCCCAACTGACTTGAAATTAAAGGATTGATTTAAAACATCATTGCTGTGTTTGTGGTAATTTTTGAGTATTTTCTAATTTTTAAAGATATTTTGGGGATTTTGATAAAAGTTGAGGGGTACTAAATAATTATTAAGGATATTTTAGAGTCAGAAAATTTATTGTTTTTGGCCTCAAATCTTAGTTTAATGTGCAGGTCTAAAATAACTATCGATTTTAGTGCCAATTAGATTTCTATATCAAATAATTATTAAGGATATTTTAGAGTAATAAAAAATTTTACTTGTCTGGAGTTAATTTCAAGGTTTCATGCGCCTATAAATAGATTAGTATTTATTGTGAGGGAGATGAGAAATTTTATTGAAATTGGAATGTGACTTTTGATTTCTAAATCGAAAAAATATCTCCATAAACTCCATTTTCATCTTTCGTTTCTTTTTAAACCCAAAATTTCAAAACCTATCTTTTAACCATCCAAATAACTTGATCTATTTTTATTCTGACTTTTATCTCA